GAGGACGAGAGGAGTGGAGGAGGGATGGGGGAGGGGTGAGTGGGTGGGAGGGGGGTGAAGGGGGTGAGTGGGGTGGGGAGAGAGGGGGAGAGGGAAGGGGTGGGAGGGAAGGAGGGGAGTGGCAGGGAGGGAGGAAGAGAGGGTGAGTGGGTTGGAGGGGAGAGAGGGTGAGTGGGAGGGAGAGAGGGGGGGAAAGGTGAAGGGGGTGGAGGGAGATAGGGGTGAGGTGAAGGGGTGGGAGGGAGGGAGAGAGGGGTGAGTGGGCAGGGAGAGAGGGAGAGAGGGGGGTGAGTGGGGTGGAGGGGAGGGAGAGGGGGGAGAGGTGAGGTGGGAGGAGAGAGGGGGGAGGGAGGGAGTTAGTGGTGGGAGGGGAGGGGAGAGGTTGGGAAAGGAAGGGGTGGGAGGGAGAGAGAGGGAGAGGTGAAGGGGTGGGAGGGGGGGAGAGAGGGGGGTGAGTGGGCAGAGAGAGGAGAGAGGGGGGTGAGTGGGGTGGAGGGAGGGAGGAGGGGGAGAGGTGAAGGGAGGTGGGAGGGAGAGAGGGGGAGTGAGGGCAGGGAGGGAGAAAGAGGCAGTGAGGTGGTGAGGGAGAGGTGGGGGAGTGGGGGGGATTGGGGTGGGAGGAGCAGAGGGGGAGAGCTGAAGGGGAGAGGGAGAGATGAGGGAGGTGGAGTGGGTGGAAGGAGAGAGAGGGGAGTGAGAAGGGGTGGAGGAAGAGACGAGGGGTGAGTGGGGTGGGAGGGGAGGGAGAGGGAGGAGGGGGTGAGGGTGGAGAGAGTAGAGGAGAGAGGGGTGGGAGGAGGGGAGAGGGAAGGGAGATGGGGAAGAGGAGGATGGGAGGAAGGGAAGAGAGGGGTGAGTGGGGTGGGAGGGAGTATATTATTTGGTGGAGGGAGAGAGGGTGAGGTGAAGGGTTGGGGGAAGAGGGGGGTGAGTGGGGTGGGGAGGAGGAGAGATGGGAGAGGTGAAGGGGGTGGAGAGGGAAGAGAGGAGGGTGAGTGTGGCAGAGGAGAGCTCACGGTTTGGGTAGAGTGGGGTATGGGGGCGAGGAGAAGGGAGAGGTGAAAGGGGTGGAGAGAGAGAGAGTGAGTGGCGGATGGGATGGGGGGAGAGAGGTTATGAGTGGGAGATTGAGAGGAGAGAGAGGGGTGAGTGGGAGGGAGACAGGGACGAGAGGGTGAGTGGGGCTAGGGGAGATGGGAAGGAGGGAGGAAGAGAGGGTGAAGTGGGGATGGGAGGGAAAGGGAGAGAGGGACGTGGGGAGGGAGAGGGTGGAGCTGGAGAAGAGGGGGGAGTGGACAGGAGGAGAAGTGAGAGAGGGGCGAGTGGGTGGGAGGAAAGGGAGAGAGGGGAAGTGGGTGGGTGAAGTGGGAAGAGGAATGTGGTAGAGATGGGGGTGAAGGGAAGGGAAGAGGGGTGAATGGGGGGGGGATGGAGGTGAGACGAAGGGGAGAGAGAGAAAGGAGGTGAGGAGGGAGAGGAGGGAGATTAGGGTGAAGGAATGGGAGGTATTAGGTGGGGTTTGGGGCTGAGGGGAATGGGATTCTGGGTAAAGGAAGGGAGATGGGGTTGGAAAGGGCAGGGGAGGGGCTAGGAAGAAGAGGAGAGGGAGAGGGGAGTGGGGAGGGAGAGCATAGAGAGAGAGAGGGGGGGAGAGTAAAGGGTGAGAATAGATAGATAGAGAGAAGAGAGAGAGAGCAGAGAGGGGGGGGGAAGTAAAGGGTGACAGACAGATAGATAAGAGAGAAAGGTGAAAGGGTGAACAGGAGGAGGAAAGAAATAGAGGGTGGATGTGTGTGTGTGTGGGGGGGGGGTCGAGCGAATGAGAGAAAGAGGGGGTGGGGTGGGGAATAACGAAGAGAGAGAAAAAAGATCGGAGGGGAATTTGGTAAGGGAGGGGAGAAAGTGGAAATAAAGGGATGGAGGAAGGAAAGTGAGGGAAAAGGGAGAAGGGAGGAAGGGAGATAGACAGGAAGAGAAAAAAGAAAGATAAAAAGATAGAACAAGAAAAAAAAAGAAAAAAAGAAAATCAACCGTCGTACAAATAACCCCCCTCCCCCTCCTGAAGAAAAAAGGGGAAAAATCCCCCTCAAAAGCATTTAAAAATCATACAGAGCGATTCATTCGGAGATCACGTGACGTGCTCCTCCTCTCGCTCGTTCTGTCACTCGGATGTCGGTCAATAAACAGCATAAAAAGCTGCACAAAACTTAGACAATAACCTCGATAGAAGTACAGGTCTTTTAAACTTCCTTTTTTTCTTCTTCTTTTTTATTCTACTGTGCCCTCTCTGTCTTTTCTTCTCTCTCTCTTTTTTTCTCTCTTCTCTTTCCTTTTTATTTTTTTTCTGTCTCTGTTTTTCTTCTCT